AATTCCGGTCACAGGAGGCGAGGCGTGGCAAGAAAAACTGTTAATTTAGACTTGAAGCGAAATTCGAAACCAAGGTTGAATAAGTCGGAAATAGATCGAGTTACTCAAACACACAGAGCCTAAGGGGGTTTGTTCGTGGCCGACGGGGCGCACACGAATTGTGTTGAGTGTTTGTGCTTAGCCGGGAAGGAATATCTGCTGTTCTCATCTACAGAAGCCTTCAAATTCGAAAAAGGTGCAGGCGGCGAGGCCATTTTAATACATACTAGAAGGAGGGGGGCCCGGCGTCAGCCGGGCGAGCCCACTGGTACAATATGTTATGCGCTAAGTATGTCTGTCGGTTTTTTTCTGTGTGTGTATTTGACCGGAAATTCATAACTCCGGTTTCCGTGGACTTAGAGGGTTCGAATTCAGTCGTAATATAAAAGCAGGATGGGACACCTATGCTGGGTGGCAAGTTCGGGATCCGCCCACAGGGGCGGGGTTTGTGCGAATTAAATGACTGAGCGGAAATCCAGAATTCCGGCTCCCATGAACCGAAAGAGCATAATTTATAAGAAGTGGCGGCAGGATGGGACACTTGTGTTGGTTGCAAGGCCACTCTCCACCCACAATGAGCGAGGTTTGAACGAAAATTCATAGGCGTTCACTTTTGGTTCGAGTACAGGAGGCAAGATGGGAACACTGTTGATAGGTGGCACGACTAGTCCCCACCCTCAGGAGGCGAGGCTCGCTCAAGAAATGCCAAACTGAACCTAGAGCGCTGGAAATCGGTTGAAATACAGGAGGCAAGATGGAAACACTGACGGTAGGTGGCAGAACTAGCATGCTCTGTCAGTTTCGTTAGGCTGCGTTCCGAAAAGTATCATTTTTCCAAGAAAAGAGCGAGCGGTTCACCGATTAGTACAACTCTATCGTAAGGAACAGGGAAGCCCGGCGTTAGCCGCGCGGACCGGTTGTTCAGATTTTCACGGGACCGGACGGCCTTTGATGTGTAGAGTTTAGAAACACTTAGTTGTCCTAAAATCGAGGATAGAACCCCCCCAGGCGACCGTCGTAGACAATACCACGAAAACGTAGAGTTTGAGGTGTCGGGCAGGATTTTGATACGAGAGTCGACGACCTCCGATCACCACAAGCTGGTATGGCTGCGGTTTAAATAGGGCAGTCGTCCGTTGTTATTCACATAAGTGATTGGGACGAAAGCGCTGGTGGAGGCGCAAAGGTTGATTACTTCGTTGGTATTTTCTGTGATTGGTTTCGATTTTACAGGGGATGTGCTACTGGCTGCGTTAGTGCGCTTGAATGAGCGAGCGAAGATCTCGAAACACCTTCAGGTCCTTGATGACGACGATGTGTCGAAATGTAGGACAAATGTAGCGATTCCACTCTAACGAGCCTGCCTGGCAGAGCAGTATAAGGCATTGGTCGTTTAAAATGTCTAGAATGTGAAAAAGTGATTAGGGGTAGCTAAAATAAGAGCGACGAAAATATCTTAGTAGATGGGCTTTGCCCTGAGCTGGACGAACTAGGATCGAAAATCATCGATACTGTTCAAAAACATTCTGAAATCCAAAAAAATTGCATCAAAGGTTGAAGGAAGGATGGTCAAGCCTTCTTGTAGGCCTGAATAAAGCTAAAATTTCGAACACTTTTAACGACGTTCATAAAGATGGGTCTGTTTGTCTGTTTGAGCGTCAAATTTGATCGGTTGTTAAAGAGGAGTTAGGTTATCGTCATTTCATACGTAATTTAAACTTTCCCATTCCAGAGTTTGCATTTGTTCGGGTTTGTCCGGAAAACTAGATGTGCTATTGTTTTTCCAGCAGTTGGGGTGTGTCTTAAGTCTGGTTAATGCAGCTTATCGACCGCAGTCGGTACACCTAATTTGTGGCGGATACT